CGCGCTGTCCGACCAAAGCAAGCCCATCAGCATGAAGCCGCTCGCGAGCACCGAGGACCTGGCGGCCGCGAGCGTCTGCGAGAGCGTCGAGGCGGCGCACTCGGACCAGAGCAGCGCGGGGCAGATTGCGCGCAAGCTAGGCATCACGCGGCCGAGCGTGCGCATGGACTCGCAGGCCAAGTATGGCTCTATCGCGCGCGGCGCGGGGGATATTTACTTGAGGTTGCGCACGTCCAAGACGTACCAGGAGAAGATCTGGGACCACGCGGCGGGTGATCTGATTGTGCGCGAGGCGGGCGGGCAGGTGACGGATACCACGGGCAGCAGGTTGGATTTTAGTGTCGGGCGGACGCTGGCGAATAACCAGGGGGTTATTGCGGCGCCCAAGGCGGTGCACGGGCAGGTTATTAGGGCGGTGCAGGAGGTGCTTGGGCTGTAATAGTAGGTATCACGAGGAAAGCTGGCTGGCTGGCAGACTACACTTGGGGTGATGGGAAGGAATGCATGGCATGGATTCATCAACGCGCTCCATACCATTGTGTACACTGTTATAGCTACATACAGAACCCGGCCACGCGCCCAAAATAAAAAAAAAGAAATAATAAATACAAGACATAAATCGGATGGGGTGTGGGTTGGCGCGGATGGATGTAATTGTACAAATATGGAAAAACCTCCCCCCCCTCCTTTGAGTGATCATCTATTTCACCTTCTTCTGCTTCAACTTGATGGTCTCGTCGTTGATAAAGATGCCCTTGCCCTTGTACGGGTCCGGCACGCGCCACCTCCTGATCTTGGCGGCGAACGACATGATGACCTCTCTATTAATACCCTCGAGCAGAATGCGCGTCGGCTGCGGCACGCTGGCCGTGACGCCCTCGGGCACGCCCATCTCGACGGGGTGCGAGAAGCCGAGCTTGAGCACGACGAACTGCTGGCCCGGGTACTCCTCCTTGAGCGGGCGCGTATCGATGGTCGCTCTGTATCCGATGCCGACCAGCCGGAGGACGGCAGTGTGGCCCTCGGACACGCCCATGATGTAGCGGTTGAGGTAGGACCATGTTGTTCCTGTTTGGGGGGGAGTGGATTGTTAGTATTTAGCTGTTAATGAGTGGTGGTGTTGAGGGCGGTGGTGGCTGCACATACCCCACATCTCTCTCTGCTGCTTAAGGCTCAGGTCCTGGACCGTCAGGGTTGCCTTTCTGGCGGCGACATCATGGTCGAGGAGGACGAAGGGGGGGATCTCGAGGTCGAGCTTGCCGAGGGGGCCCGACACGGTGACGGTGCGCTTGGCAATCTTAAGATAGGTGGTCATGTCGCGCTTGACCTTGGGCTCGCCGATAGCCAGCTCGACGCCGGGGGGGATCGAGATGGGTGTGCGGCCGAGCTTAGACGGGCGGGTGGTGGAGGCGGAGAAGGGGCGGCTTGGTGTTGTTGTTCTCAAGGTCTGGAAGGCGGGCACGAGGAAGCTCGGCAGGGAGACGAGGACGGCAGCAGACGATGATGCCGCCCTGTCTAGGACCCGGGCTCGGCTGGGGGCGAGCATCGCGGTGGCCATCGTCGTCGTCGTCGCGAATTGGATTACGCCGGCCTCGATTGGGATTCGCGATGGCGGCGGGCCGGAGTGCGATAGAAGGGGCTCCAAAAAAAGATGGCTTCTCGGGAAAGCATCGGCTGATTCTCCATCTCCTATCTTAACAGTGAGACCCGACACCCCAAATTGGGTTTTACAAGGGTGAGCACAGCTGCTAGCTCAGCACTTCAACTTAGTCATCACTTCAGAAAGCTTGGCGGGCATCAACACCATCACCCGTGTCGAGTGTCGACCAGCCTTCAAGTCAAATGAAGCAAACTCATATTCACTTGAACTGCAAAGATGGAACTTTGGAACTTTGTGTTTGTCCCTCAAACTGAAAAAGAACTGTTCGCGTTGCTCTCACACTGAATCGAACTCCCCTCTGCAATCCTCCTCAGCTCCTATTTCTCCACCCCATCTTCATGATGGGATAACAGAAGTTCAGAACAGGCAGGCCACCTATGTTTCCGTGAATTCAAGCGGGCCATTCAGTCCTTTTAGATTTTTCTTGGTATTCACTTGCTGGTAGGTACTGGGGCATTAATTCGTGTAATTAGCAGGTAGACTTTGGCCTGGGCATTTCCTAAGAGGTACATGTCGTTAAGAGTCAATCATGCATTTCATTCAGCAAGCACATAGAAGCTCGGCTTCTAAATAAACTCATCTCAGCAACGCCTTCGCACAGCATCCTTTGCCCTCACATCATGGCCGCAATAAGCGCTTCGCTTCTGTGCTTCGTCACCGACATCATCCGATACCCTACTTTCCACCATCGCTCCTTCCTGCTCCCTCTTTTTGATGTCAACTACATCACCTAACCTAGCACACCTACTTTTTCTCCCCGCATCCCGTTACATCTCTAGCCTTCACTTTCTTACACACACAATCTCGTCATTCTATGGTCCGCTCGTGATACCGTCAAACACATTTCGCCTCGCTTCAATATCACAGGGACCATGAACAAGATTTCCATCATTCTGGCCATTTGGGCCCTAACTATACCCGCATTCCACGCTTTCTCATGGGAAGGAGAAAAGAGAGTGGCGATGCGTAAGCTACACACTCTCGCAAGTGGGCTGCAATGATGGAATGTCAAGACTGACATGATCTTTTACAGCTGCAGTCAAGACCGTTCCGGAACGCTTTGGTAGCGCATCGGAGCTTCTTCAGCAGCAGCCCTCTCGTCTCCCGGCAATATACGCCGTCGCACTAAGCGAGCTTCAAGAACTCGAATCAGAACCGCTGTGTCATCGCGTTGCCGCTCGCCTATTAGTGAACAATTGTCAGCTTGTGGACGGGAAGGACGAAGCGACCATTCTTACAGATAGCGGTCGCCAAGTTCGAGACTTTGTCGACTCGTACGCTGCAAGTCTCGCGATTTGCGACCTGGAGCGTGGTAGCTTCACAATTCCAATCCAGTGCGCAAAGTTCCGGGAACCTTCTTTGACACAGATCGCCGTACGAAACGAGCCGCAACTCCATGTAAGTCCGAGAGAGATTGGGCTTTGTCTCTCTGCTCTGGCGGCATCGGACGCAGCATGGAGTACCTGGATAAGTTATCGCCACAAGGCGCTTCGGTTCTGCGAAGCTGCGCGAGCAGACAACGAGAAAGGTCAGTAACTTTCCGAATGTTTATCACCTTGATGTAAAAGAGGCCGACTGACATTTTTGCAGCGCAAAACATACAACTATACCAGCGATTGACCAAGATCATGGCAAAACTCACCGATAGCGTGGATATCGAGCTGCAGAAACGCATGGATGATCTCGATAACCGCGCTCGGCAATCTGTCGAAAGCCTGGAAAGGCTCACGCCACAGATAGACCTGCTAAGAGACGGGCTCGCAAGAGTCCAGGATTACTTGGCCCAAGACCTGGAGATCACCTTAAGGAAATCTTCCGACTCCGTTCAAGGCGGGCTACAGCACGCAGAGGACATTCAGCACATGCTGGGAGTCCTGCTTGCCACCGTCCTCGAGAACAACTCCAGGCTGGCCTTCGCCCACGAACAGTCACTGCAACAAGCATCTCAGAAAGCGGATGACAATATGGGTGCGCTGATAGCTGTTGTCGCTTCGGCTGCTGCTTCCTCCGTCTCCTTGCAACAACAAATAGTGAGCTCCCTTGGTCTAATTACATTTCAAACAAGCTAAATCGCCGGGTAGGAAACATCGAATCAACAAGCTGCGGCACTAGCAGAGCGACAGGATGCTCTCGAGCAAGGGATGGATCGTCTCCTCGTTGTCACCGAGAAGCTATCCACGAGTTATGAAGATCACACCCACATGCTAAAACAAGCATCAAACATCACAAATGACCTTCTAGATGCACTGGAAGAGACCGCCTACACGGCATCTTCAGTCAGCGATTCCCTCTTCAAAGGTGTGAAATCAGGCAGCTGGTGGCCCTTTGTCATTTTCCCTACCGCCTCCCTCGTCATGGGTTCATACGGGCTTGAGCCCTCTGCTTTTCGCAACATCGGACTGATGGCTCTCGGCGAGGCTGTTGGTCTCGTCGTGTCATATCACGATCAACTTCACGACCAACTCAGCGAGATGCTGACGTCTCTCTCCACAGTCGTAATTGTAGAGAATAACACAACCGCACCCTCACTCTGATTTTTCGGTGCATCATATCTTTTTGCTTTTGGAGTTCCCGTCTGAATGGGGCTCATGATATCTATCTTTTTCAGGGAGTTAGGGGTTATCATTTTTTAGATCGGGAGCGGCCCTCCTGCCCACGGAGCCCGAGGATATGTGGCATGCTAATAATTTGATCGCAGTCGACGATGTGATCAGGGCACCCGCCGTTCGAAAGGTCACGCAGACATCGTTCACTGGCTCCATCATGGCCGAGCGAGTGTACACCGACCTCACCATCAAAGAAGGGGTCTTAATTGGTAATCCGGAAATGGCAGAGGGGGAGGGAATGGGGATATCAGGCTCTGGGATGCATGCATCTAGCTGGCACTTACAACACATGCGACTTTTGGCTTCATGGTGCATCTATTAAACACGACACAGTATATATCATTGCTACTAGCCCTTGAATAGTTAGCTAGATTGGGAACTTCAGGCACATACACGACAGGTTAATGCAGACTTTCATTATATAATCTGCAGGGAGATAATCGTTCTTGACAACCCATTATAGAGTTTGTGGGTAGATAATTTCAGTTTCATGGGAAAGGGAAGACAGGAACCGGACAAAGTACTGACAACAAAATTGTTTCTGTCATGCTGTTTTACTAGAAGTGCGTGTACGTGTAGTAGTAGTCTTGAACTATTTTAAAATTGGCAAGTTCCAACTTGACACGACATAAAGAAAGACAAATGATGGTTGGAACTACTGAGAAGGCAAAAGCAAATGCTCTTTCTTCAAGGTAAAGTAGCAGAAGGAAGAAAATGTAAAAATATAACCGATTTGCCTAGACCAGGAATCGAACCTGGGTCCTCTCGGATGTTGGATGTTAACCACAACGAGAAGTACTGACCACTATACTATCTAGGCATGAATGAGCCTGTTGACCAATCGATGGAAGTATAGGCTGCTAGCCGGAATTATATCGACACTTGGCTCACTATAAATCTGGTGGGGACATGTTTAACAACTGTCATCCAGAAAATTAGGGAGTGAGTGTCTACATTTGCTGCATGCACTCCTCAAAAACAATTCGAAACCTTGTTTTCTCCATTATTTAGTCATTAAACCCCAATCCGGGCCCTGTTGGTTTATTAGCAGATGCCTCCTCGTAGCTTGCACTGCGATCGATGCATGTTGCGTAAAACTCCAGCGTAAGCAGAAGGCATTTGTCAATAGGGTATACCTAGGTGTAATTCTTTGAATACCATAAAAATTTCCATCATTAACTACTATCTGTATAATTAGACATAGCGTCAAATCGCATGATATGTAACAATATCCTTACTGCAGTATACTTATTGCTCCTTCAACCTAACCGGCGGCCCTGTCTTTACGCATAGATGAACGATGTCTATCTGTTGGCATGCCCACGCTCCCCCATTACTGCTGCTGCTGCAAAATAACCAACAACAATATGTAAAATGTAAGCAAAAGGGGTGTTATATATGGGTATACCCCAACGAGCCATAAAACAAATTCATGTCCACCATCACCGAGTCATCTTTTGCACCGCACCCTTTCCACCACCCATCCCCTACTTCCGCCCACCCCCACCGCCCGCATGATAACTCTCCCCAAACGTCGGCCCATACGCGTGGTCCTCTGCCAACTCCAGGGACGGACCAAATCCGTCGGCACCGCCGCCGCCGCCGCCGCCGCCGCCGCCACCCGACTTCGCTCCGGTTGTAGTAGCCCCAGATCCGTGGTTGGGCTTCCACCAGAGGAAGTACAGCAGGCCGCCGATGACGGCAAGAGCAGCGAGCGGAATGCCCACGCCGAGCCCAATCTTGAGATTACTACTGTTCGAGGAGCTACCACCGCTGCCTCCGTCGGTGTCGCTGGACGACGAACCTGTCGGTGCTGAGGCGGTGGTTTGGCTACTAGTGCTCCCTCCTCTCGTCGAGGATGCCGCTGTCGCGGAAGAAGTATTGTTGACGGCTGTTGGGGTGGGAGAGCTGCTGCTGGTGGACCTGGTAACAGCAGTACGAGTTGGCACGACACTGCTGCTACGTTTGGTAGAGGCAATGCTCAGCGACGGCGTCCCAGTGAAAGAAGTATCCGAAACCTGAATAATAGTCTGCGCGAGGCCCACGCTGATGGTGAAGGCGCTGTCGCTATCGGTCGAACAGCTGCACTGGCCGTCGTTGAAGTCGCGCTCGCAGCAGAAGCGGTCGTCGCCGCACGCCGCGAGCTTGCCATCTTTGTTGTCGCTGTCTATTGCAGAACATGACTTGTTAGCTGACGGTCTTACCTAGCAACTGATAACCCACCGCCAGAATATGTTCCAAGCGGACAAAGGAAAAAAAAAAAAAAAAAGAGATCTCACCAAGACAAGCATTCCCGCAAATATTATTATTCCACTCGGGATTCGTGCAGGCGCCGCGCCGCACAGCGCCTAGCGTCAGGTTGGGGAACGAGTTGCTGTCCGTCGTGGCGACGCACAGCGCGTTGCTGAAGCACGTCCAGCCGGCCGGGCAGCACGACGAGATGGGCGCGTTGTAGGCTTGGCAGGGGTAGAAGCCCAGCGCGGGCTCGCCTCTCGGGAAGTAGCACGGCGCATTGGGGTCCGCGTTGACGAGTGATGCCGCAAGGAGACATGTCGTCGTTGCGAGGACGACTGTAGAAAACAGACGGAGTGGTAGTGGCGACCGCACGGTTCGCTGCTGCTGTGAAGGTGCGCCCATTGCTTCGTGGCGCTATCTTGGATCACCTAGTGAAATGTCGCTTGTCGGTATCGTCGTTGTCGTCGTCGTTGTCGTCGTCGTCGTCGTCGTCGTTGTCGTCGTCGCGAGCCGTGAAGCAGTCAGTCAACACATCACATACCCGCGAAGGTAGGTATATAAATCCCTCGCCAGCCTGGCGAAGGGGGGGTGTGCGCGACGCCCATCTCTTTATATCGGATAGCGGACGACCACGTCGGGCTGTGACGCTGTCCAGGGGCCCAGGCAGGTCCAGAATGTGCCCTTGTGGTGCTGCTGCGCAAAAAGATGGTGGTTGCAGCACATCAAAATCCAATAGGCTGCTGCACTAACCCCGGCGGCGCGCCGAATCATTGGCCGTCACCTCAGCAGGCGCCCTTGGCCCCCAGACACAATGGGCAGATCCCAGTGGCAGTGTCGTGGGTGTCGTGCACCCATTGGGAAACGCTCAGGGCTTCCAGTGCGGGATCGATGAGAACGCCTACCACTTATCAAGTCCAAGCCACTTGGCTTGGCAAGCGGTTCAGTCCCTGGAGGGCATCGTGGTGAACAAGGGTGGAATTGTGAGAGCTGACGCGGTTGAGAGAATGTTTTTGGTCGGGGTTTTTGGGCTGGGCTTAAAAAAGAGCATTAGAAACCGATCATGTTGGAGTTTAAACACTGGCGTAATTGCCCACATTGCTCGCCGAACCCGCAAATAAAACCCATGGGTTGGGGTTTTAGCAATAAAAATAGAGAATGCCCGAGCAGTGGAGGATACCTTCTATACACACATACATTAATACTAAAGTATTTAAGTAAGGCAAGAGATCAAAGACCCTTTCTTTCAGAGTGGAATGAATTGCTACAACCCTCAACCCATTCATCCCTCAATCCTCTCCTCCAACCACCCCGCCGCCACCTCCTCACCCCGCGCACCCAACCCAGCATCCCCATCCAGCGCCGCCTCGCCCACCTCGGCAACCTGCACCCGCCGCTCCGCCTCGGTATCCCAGCCATCCAGATCATTATCCCACCTCATCCGCTGCTTGAGCTCGATCTTATCGATGCTCCGTCGCATCAAACCCGCCAGCTCGGCCGCCTGCGCCCCAAAGCTGTTCCCCCCGTAATATGCGCTACCAACCTTCTTCCGCTTCGGCGGCGCCGCTGCTACCCCCAGCATCGCCATGATATCCCGCTTGCCTCCTCGCGAGCGGCTGCTGCTCCCCCATGGGTGGCGAAAAGGGGCGGATGATGCTGGCGGCGGCGTCTCATGCAGGAGCAACGTCTCGGGGATCTTGAGCGTTGAATCGCGAGGTGGGAAGGCAAAGTATCCTTTGCGCGGCACTTTGCCGAGGAGCATTGTGCTTTCTCTCCCAGCGCTATCACTATCGTTGGCGCTGCTGCTATTCCCATCGCTAGTGTCGCCGACTGATGCGAGAGCGTCAACGGCCAGGGTGATGGCCGATGCCTGGGACCGTTGGTGAAAGTCTGCCGGCACGAGCAGCTCGGGGCTGTGGAAGAACAGGGATGCGCTGGCAAACGGATCGAAGAGGTCGGCGGGCGACGGAAAGAGCGCTGGCGCCTGTTGTTCGAGGTAGTCGAACATTGTTTCTTTCTCATAGTCCCCGTTGGATTCAGCAGAAGCTGCAGACGATAGACTGCCGTCGCCGCCATCGAACGCAGATTCATTGACAGGGTGGTCGGGCAGAAAGGTAGTCCAGTTGTAGATGCCGTTGTAGGCGATGATGCCGCGGACGGCCGTCGGCTGATGGGCATGGGACTCGGTCATGGCGAGGCTGGCCGCCAAGCTGGCGCCGAGGTAAGAGCCGCACACGTAGAAGTCGCGCCGGCCGAAGTTGGGCGGCGCGAGGTTCCGCAGGATCCATGAATACCCGAAGAGCAGGTCGTGGATGGGGGCTGGCCAGTACAGGGGCTGCTGTTTTTTGGCTGCCGCAGGCGTCACCGCATTCGTGCTTGGAAAAGGCGATGAGTCGGGGTACAGGCCGCTCCATCGGTAGTTGATGACGGCGGTTTGGTACGGGCGCAGCCAAGATGGGGGCTGGGAGTCGCCGACTCCGTCTTCGCGAGGGAACGGCGGTATCCAGATGATCAGGGGCGCGGTGGAATGGGAGTCGGATACATTGTGGAGGCTGCCTTTTGTGTTAGCCATGGCAACATGACATGCTTGATGAGGGTATAGCCAGCAGCGAACAACGGCGTACCTCACGGTAATGTCACCGGATGAAGCACACGGCACGCGAATTTGGCGAGGGAGATGTTGGCTGCTGAACCATAGTCTCTGGGGTGCTCGCTGGACTGGAGAGAAGAGCCATCTTTGCATCTTCTGAAAATTTAGAAATCGATCGCAACGCGAGAAAAGCAATACTGATAAATGCATTCAGCTTCAAGCTCCAAATTTCGAAACTTGGGATCTTGATCTTACTAGGCAGATAAATCGGCACTGTTTATTTCAATTTCATGGTACATACGATACGACAAAAAAGCGAAAGACAAAACGATGAGTTTGAGACAAATACATGAGTTGACGTCATGTGAAATGCGCTCGTTGAGGGCCTGTCAAAGATGTTGAACTGCCATTAAAGGGACGTGAATTGCAACGACGTGCACGGCGTCGACGAGCCCGCTGTGAGGACGACCAAAATTTCGTCGCAATGGCTAGTTGCTCCTTCCACCACTAACACAGACCGCCTGCAGCCAATCACAGGGCCGCATTTGCATTCCTGCCAAGGCGCGCGTTGTTTCCACTTGCTGGGGAAGGTCTCTGTCAATCGGCGCGATCCGACGTCATCGCCAGGACAAAGACGCGCATGGATCTGCATCCAGAGTCCAGAGCGCTTGGCCATGCATGTGCGCGCAAATGCTTGACATGTATATCTTGGCATTGTCTGATATCCTAGATCGGATGAACCTACCCCTGGATACCAATACCGTACTCTTGTTGCGCAACGGATTTCTCTTGGGCAACAACGAGGGAGGGCCTTTGAGGACGGGAGCTCTTTCCATGGACAGCAGCTGGGCAATCCATCTAGCTTCCCTTGAGGTATTGACCATGATACCAATCCGACAACAACCGCGACCACCTCCTTTTCCCCGTTCAAAATGAACGTCGACAGCGGCGAGAACGTCGACGAGCATGTCCGCGCCCTCGACTCGGGCGAAACGAAG